TGTGGTGAACAACCAAGTGGCTTTCACGACAGATCCAAAGGCTGGGAGATCTTCCCAGTATTGTACTGATGTTGCTAAGGCTTTGAGTGCTCCCATCTTTCATGTTAATGGGGATGATGTTGAGGCGGTTGTTCATGCCTGCGAGCTTGCTGCTGAGTGGCGTCAGACTTTTCATTCTGATGTTGTCGTTGATTTGGTTTGCTACCGTAGGTTCGGGCATAATGAGATAGATGAACCATCCTTCACTCAGCCAAAAATGTACAAGGTTTGTTGACGTTATTTTCTTTACATGTTACCCAAAAAGAATCTGCTATGGATTTATGACTTATTGCAGTTTTCTAATTCTCTGAATTCCCTTATTGTTTTTCAATTTGACAGGTTATCAAAAATCATCCTTCAACCCTTCAGATCTACCACAAAAAGCTCTTGGAATGTGGTGAAGTATCACAACAGGATATCGACCGGATACAGGAAAAGGTTAACACCATCCTCAATGAAGAATTTGTCTCTAGTAAAGACTATCTCCCGAAGAAACGAGATTGGCTTTCAACCAATTGGGCTGGATTTAAGTCTCCTGAGCAGATCTCACGAGTTAGAAACACTGGGTGAGTTGGGTTTGTCTTTTTTTTTTCTTTTTTTTTTTTTTCTCTCTGTCCTATTGTCTGTTAAACTTTACACTTTTCTGCAGCGTCAAACCAGAGATACTTAAGTCTGTTGGCAAGGCAATTTCATCGCTTCCAGAAAACTTCAAGCCACACAGGGCAGTGAAGAAAGTTTATGAACAACGTGCCCAAATGATTGAATCAGGAGAAGGAGTTGACTGGGCTCTTGCAGAAGCTCTTGCTTTTGCTACCTTAGTTGTGGAAGGCAATCATGTCCGGTTGAGTGGTCAAGATGTCGAACGAGGAACATTTAGTCATCGTCATTCTGTACTTCATGACCAGGAAACTGGAGAAGAGTATTGTCCTCTAGATCATCTCATCATGAATCAGGATCCTGAGATGTTTACTGTTAGCAACAGGTACTTTTACCTCCATCCTTCCCCTCTAGAAATTATTGAACTCCTAGCTTGTTTTTGACAGCTCAGAGTAAACTAACAATAGAGATTGACTCTCTATTGTTCAACTAATTTTTTTTTTTTCATTTCTCCAAAGTGCGATCTTACGTTTTGAGACAAATCCCGTGTGTTTGTTCCTTGCATACCAGAATTCTCATTGTAAAGATTCACTAATAAGTTTTGCTTGTTGTGTACAGTTCTCTTTCAGAATTTGGTGTCCTTGGGTTCGAATTGGGTTACTCCATGGAAAGCCCAAACTCGTTGGTACTATGGGAAGCTCAGTTTGGAGACTTTGCCAATGGAGCTCAGGTGATATTTGATCAGTTCATCAGCAGTGGAGAAGCCAAATGGCTGCGTCAAACCGGTCTTGTTATGCTACTTCCCCATGGTTATGATGGTCAGGGCCCTGAACATTCAAGTGCGAGGTTGGAACGTTACCTCCAGGTAAATTCTGTCCTCTACATCTTATGGGTTAAGGTGTTAAATTACTGAAAAAATATTTAATCGCGTTTGATTCTCTTCCTGACTGTAATTACTTCTGTAACAGATGAGTGATGATAATCCCTATGTCATACCAGACATGGAACCAACAATGCGAAAGCAAATTCAAGAGTGTAATTGGCAGATTGTCAATGCCACAACTCCTGCCAACTATTTCCATGTTCTGCGGCGACAGGTAAGAGCTATTTTCTGGCTATCTTTTTTACCTGTCACAAAAGTGTTGTTTCTTGTGCTGTTTCCAGTTTACAATATCTCAATGTCACTCATGTTGCAGATACACAGAGACTTCCGTAAGCCTCTGATTGTAATGGCACCAAAGAACTTGCTCCGTCACAAGGACTGCAAATCAAATCTCTCAGAGTTTGATGATGTCCAAGGCCATCCAGGTTTTGACAAGCAAGGCACTAGATTTAAGCGATTAATCAAGGATCAGAATGATCACTCTGATCTTGAAGAAGGCATCAGAAGATTGGTACTTTGCTCCGGAAAGGTATAAATAAGTTTTGTTCATTTTATAATATGAATCTTGCCAGTCCCAGATTTGTAAAAAGAAATTCTTGCTTTTGCTTCTTTGTAGGTCTATTATGAGCTTGATGATGAGCGGAAGAAGGTTGGCGCAACCGATGTTGCTATCTGTAGAGTGGAACAGCTTTGTCCTTTCCCATATGATCTCATTCAGCGTGAGCTCAAGAGATATCCAAGTATGTACCTAAACTATCTTTGGATTGATTCGGTTTGGCTTTTATGTCTACCCCTAATAACTTTTTTTGTATTGGTCTGAAATAGATGCGGAGATCGTTTGGTGCCAAGAAGAGGCGATGAACATGGGAGCATTCAGCTACATATCTCCACGGCTATGGACAGCAATGAGAAGCTTAAACAGAGGAGATATGGAAGACATTAAGTACGTTGGCCGTGGTCCTTCTGCTGCTACTGCCACCGGGTTCTACACTTTCCATGTCAAGGAGCAAGCCGAGCTTGTCCAGAAAGCCATCGGAAAGGAACCCATCAATTAAAACTCTTCCTTTTTAAATGAATTCTCTGAGTGAAAAGGAAAAAAAGGAGAAAACTTTGAAATAAGAACTTTGGGTGATGCAAAAGTGCTAAACAACACTGACATAATCCTCTGTTTCTTTGTTATATTTTTTTGGTCCCATTGATTTTGAGCCTGCCTAGTGTTGCAGGTCAAAACATAAAAAAAAATCTCATATTGATACACAGTTTTGTTATTGCTCTTCTTTTTTCTTCTTTGATTCATCTTTTGCGTTGTCATTGTCTTTTTCCTTTATCTTGTCTAAAAATTGAATCATTGGTTTTTAATTCGTGTAGAGTAACCACTAACCAAACCAATTTGAAACCGAAATTGGTGATACGTCTGTGCCGCACAATTTTAGTGGTAGAAACGTTTAAGATTTGGTTTTCCATTTTTTTTTTTACGTCTAGATTTATTATTTATTGCAAATTATGAGAACTGTTACATAGACGATTCTACAACGGACAATTCCTTCCGACCCTTATTAGATCCACGACAGACGACACTTCCTTCTCCATGCTCTTGACGGACACCTTCAATGATCCACAACCTAACGACACTTCTCTCTCTGCGTAGAATCCTGGCGAACGACTATAATTGTACTTCGCTGGAGATCTCCTGCACACTTGCCTCATTTAATCTGCAAATTTATTAATAAATCGCAATATCTGGGACTCGAACCTCAGACCTCTTGGTGTAGAAGCATTAATTAACCTTTGGTCAACCAATGGGCCAAGGGGCTTCCACAAAATTGAATTTCCCATCTAGCTTATATAAAAATTGAATTTCCAATTTATATGGCAAAAGTAAATATTTTTGTACCTATTTTCTCATTATATATCCGAAGAAACAAAAAAAAAAAAAGTTAATGAGTAAATTCATAGTAGGATTTCAAACGCCTGGACGAAGTAAAATCTTCAACCTCCTCCACTCCACCATAGCTTCACCCACCCAATTTAGAACAAGTAAAACTCAAATACGAGATTAAATCATTAATCATAGATCTACAAATACGATACGATATATGTACTAATGTACATTTAATACTAGAGGATGATATATGTGACATGTAATACTATTATCATATACTTCTTTTTTTTTGAATAACTCAGATGATCTTAACACTAATAACATATATAATATGATCCAAAATGTAAAAATAAATAAATCGAGAGACAACTTTTGATAATGTATCACTTTAGAAAAAAGCAAAATTGTGGAGCCACTCTAATCGCTGCTACGAAAAATATGCTTTTAATGGATGCACTCATACCTGTCATGTGTGAGACATTTGGTACCATCATTACCAGCTTCACCATCAAATCTTTATTAGTTTTTACTAAAAAAAAGTATTCATGTTACACAAAAAAAATTGTAGACCACGCTAATTATCTTAAGAGATGATGATCACAGTTTCAGACTGAATTGCCATCGATTTTAAATTTTATTGCAAAATCAATATACAAAAAAAATTGTTGCAAACTTGTCGCTAGGTTGTTCCAAATTACTATTTACTACGATTGATTACCTATTAAACCATGTTTTAACTTTTAAGTAACGTTAAAGTTAATTTTTCCTTGACGGTGCAAGGCAATAATTTGATGAAAACATAAAAGGGGGCTTGACTAGTCAGTCTTGCATATGTGATTAATGTTTTTTTCACATCATTCTTGCATGGGATCGAGACTTCACCTAAATGCATTTAAGTATTTAAGCAATCTACCATACAAAACCTTCTTTGATTTGCCCATTTTTGACCACTACTAGCTTTGTTGTTTTTTACTAGGCAACAAGAATTATGCTACTTGTGTGTTTTGATTTTCAATACTTTTATTATGACAAAGTTAAGTAATTAAATAGATCCTAACATATACTATGAAATACTAGTAATAGAAAAAAATTATAGCCTTTTGAGATTGTCAAAATAGTTCTACCAAACACAATGAAAAAAAGATCAATCTTCCAACTGAACTAACAACACAAGAAAGTAGGAAACAGTTTGATAACATTCTGGATAGTAGCATCAATTATAGTATAAGATTAAAGTTTCTTCCCCTACTATTGCCCGACACTATATGTCTTGGTGAATTTATAGCTGACCCAACATTTTATCTTTCAAATTTTATAAATTTTATAGAACACTTGACACTACCTTTAAATTTCAATATAGAAATCATAAGCATTGAAAAAAAACTTCAGACCGAATTTATATCATCAACAATACCATCATAGTTAGTTAGTTACTGTTTGTTTCTTTTCAAATCGACTAGTATTATATTGAGTTGAGAATGGTTGTAGCAAAAGTGCAAAACTAATTTAACCTAGATTTTTTAAGATAAAATTATATTGTTATTGTTATTTTATTTTATTGTGCAATTTACAAATGGCATTTATTGCAGTTGATTTCTAAACAAACTTTCCAATTAAACAGAGACTTCAGAAACCTGTCTCATGACGTTGTAATAATAATATTGCAAAATCAAGAAACAACATAATTCACTAAAAATAAAGTAAGTAAAAGAAAGAAAGAAAGAAAGAGATAGTGGCTCAAGTCTCAAACTCAATCAAAAGCACCAAACCAAAGTTACCAAACTTCTCACCACAAAGAGAGAAGAAGAAGAAAGAAACAGAGAACCGCCATGGCAGAGAAAGAGAAGAAAACCAAAAAGAAGAAGAAGAAAGAGAAGCATCAATCTTCCGACATCTCTTTCAAACCAACCTCCGACGTAAAAGGTCTCAAATTCGGTGGCCAAATAATCGTCAAATCATTCACAATCCGACGAGCAAGAACACTCGAGCTTCTAAAACTCCTCTCACTCCCTTCTTCATCATCACCGCCGCTTCTTTCCACGGCGGCGTATCTTCCTACAAACTTCACAATCCTTGCACACCACGCATGGCACACACTAACACTCGGTCTCGGAACAAGAAAATCGAAAGTGGTGGTCTTCGTGTTCGAAACAGAGGCGATGAAATCATCGGTTGTGGCCGCAGAAGGAGGAATCTGGCCGCCGGAGATTCCATTGGGAGATGTGAACAAGAAGATGATCAGAAAGTTAAAGACCTGGGAGATGGCTAGGTTTAAGTTCAGAAAAGGTTGTATCACGTTTTACGTTTACGCCGTGAGAAACGCCGGGAATGAAGGGTTTGCGGCGGCGGAGGACTTAAAGGTAATATTGCAAGCGGTGGTGGCATTGAAAGATTTCATGGATCACACCGCAATGCTTGTAATGCCCCACCAGAAAAGTATTAATTACAACTCTTGTCCTCCTTTTGCCATGGCTCACTAACTTTGAACAATATTCACAAGTGGGCCTCTTCTTCTTTTCTTTTCTTTTTTCACTCCTTTTTTTTTTTTTTCTTAATTGATATATAGAAGAAAAAAAGTTCGGATTATTATTTATTTTTGGTTCCATAATGGGGTTGTTTGTTATTAATTTCCTGTATTTTTTTTCTTTTTTCTTTTTGGGTTGAAGATTGTGGTATGAATAAGATTAGGTTGGTTTTGTTCGTGCACTTCATCGGATCGTGATCAGATTTACTTAGAATTCTTAAGTAAATCTAAAAAAAGAACACAAAATGTTTATGATTTGTCGATCTTAAAATGTGGAAGAACTGGAAGATTGGAGAAATATGTGTGAATTTTTTTTACATTTCATTAGTTAGCCATTTGTTTAGTACATTTGATTTCTTGTTTTTTTTTCCTACCATTTCACATGTATTTTTTTTGTCAATAAGACTTTTCTTTAGATCCTATAAAACCATAATTTTAGTATCTGTTATGATTTTCAGATGTTCTATCTGTGATGTCTCTGCACATTACAATCTGGTATTAGTATAGTTATCAATAGTAAGTTTCATTACATGTTTACTTTTACCTGGTGTCACTCAAATATGATTTGAATGAGACAAGAATTTACTACAGTATTTCATATATTTGACTAACAAAATATTAACAATGCTGTGCCAACATTGTCAATGTCAAAACATGTTAACAATGTAAAGTCATAGTTGTCCAATGATACTATACTACTACTACACATTGTCATATTCATAGTCTTTTTAAACGTTTGTTGGGTGTATATTATACCAAAGTATGATTGGCCGAGGAATCGGCATTTAGAAAATCTCAACTCATGCCTAATCTCATGGCCTAGAAAGACATAATTATCTTGTAGATAAGATTATGTTTCTAACGTTTACTTTGCTTTATAGGTTGATGGACCATCTGTATCCAACATAAATCGCAAGTCACAGAAATCAATGTTTTCAAGCGTACCGCTGAAGCAAAATTTATGAGAAGTTCCACTTTATTTAGTTTAAATAAAAGGAATTAACGAAAAAAGAATTAACAAAAAACCTTAAAATTAGAATAACCCGAAATCAAACACAAATCTGATGATCTCTCAAATCCAAAGTTCCTCAGAACCATTATGTTAGGATTTTCCAGACAAATGCTACTACATAGACATAGACAATCTCTTAGTACTTACACGCACCATTGCTTGGGTTGTTCCCTACGACCATACCAGTTCCACTGAAATTACAAGCACCGTCAGTGCGGCCGTGGCTCTGGAAATAAGCGTTCATCACAAAAGATGCGTGCGTCCTCAAACTGCTCGGGTTAAAGCATGAACCACCAGCTTGGATCGGTTTACAATCAACTCCCTGACCACACACCCAATTAATGTTGTCTTGCAGCTGCGCATTCGTTGCCGCCGATCTGGCCACACACCATTTACCGCCAGCAGTACTAGGTGCAGGCAATGCTGGACGGCCTCCACCGCCTTGTCCATTTCGGAGAAGACCAACATCGTAAACTGGGGAGAAATCTGCTCGGAAAAGTCCCCAGTTACGTTCTGCGGTCGGACCGGGCTTGCCTTCTTCATTGAAGAGACCGAAAATGTAAGTCTCAAACCTTCTTTTAGGCATGAGAGGTGTCCCTTGGCCTTGTGCACGTTTGATAATGTTGAGGTTGAACCAAGCAGCATTCGCAGGCGAGCACCAAGGTGCATCACAAGCAGAAGGCCAGCCCGTCTCACCAACGACAATGTTAACATCACCGTATCCAAGAGCTTTCATGGCGGAATAAGTCGAGTCCATGAGTGCATCAAACATGTTGGTGTAGACATGGCGGGTGAACGGGTCACGAACCGCCTTGTACGGTGTACGGAAAATGGCGAAGTTGACGTTTTTGGGGTCAAAACCAAAGTAAGGGTACGGGTTAACCATGAAAGGAGACTTGGTGCGGCGATGGTAAGCTAGGATTGGAGCCAATATGCCCTTGTCCCAAACAGGCCTGAATCTACCGCTGCTAGGTGCTCCGGTCAGGTCATAGGCTATGATGTTAAGTGAGTGGGCGGTTGTGACCTGAGATCAGTTGCAACAAATAGTACTATTAGAATCAATTGTTACCTACCAATCTAAAACAAATTACATATGATAATCATGTTGGTCTAAATTTCCTATGAAATTGGTACATTATTTCATTTTCCTAGGATCACAAATATGATGCTGTAATAAAAGAAACATAAGTCATGGCAGACACATCAACGAATCTAAGGACAACATTGGACGGTGAGATAAGCACGTGGGATAGTCTAAATGGTCAGATCTTAATACATAGTATCAACATCGCTAACACTTTCCTTTGAAATTCGTTTGGGACGTTTGCGTGAAATTTTGGATTTAGATAAAAGATGAAAAAACAGCTTTTTTATTTTCAAAATCAAAATAAAAAGATAAATTTAGATAAAAGATGAAAAAACAGAAATTAAATCTAAATTTTCAAAATAATCAGCTTTTTTGTTTTGCATATTTTTTTCAACGTTCTTGTTCCAACGCAATCAATGCATTGTTTCTGTTAAAAAGGAAAAAACAAAAAAGCTGTGCATTTTTCACGCCAATCATTCAATTCACTAGTAATAATTACAAACTTCCTCTAAGTAAAAAGGAAAATAAAGATAACGTTACGTAAACAAAAAAATAAACTTCGTCACCAGCAATATCGAAGATTCAAAGTAGAGATTTCAAACTTAATCTGGAATTTGTAAAATAATGAAATCCAACTTGGTTTTAATTTTATTTATTTACCGAAAACCAAACTATTATACTAATTCCTTAAAATAGAAAAATCTGAAAAAGGGAAAGAAAAAGAGAGAAAGCTGACCTTAACATCTCTGACACCAGCACGAACCAAAGCATTGTTAAGATTCCTCATCGCCGGTAAGAGATTATTGATCATATTATTATCTCCGGTGAGCAAAATCTCATTTCCGACAGAGATATACTTAATCTTAGTCTGAGGATGAAACGGCAAAATGTTAGCCGAAACCCACCGACGAGCTTGTCTTCCGTTAGCTAACGCCGGAATATCGCCGTTAGGAACGGTAACGACGACGGAGATACCAGTTCCAGCGAAAGCACGGAGGATATCGGGATTCACATCGAAGATCTTGACGCTATCGATCGAAGTTTGAGTCTTGATGAAATTTGCAACTTGAGTCGGTGGTGGGAGGTTCCCGAGAGTTCCATAGTTAACACCGATGGCGGAGATCACGGCGGGGATGGTGAGGAATACGGCGGCGGAGAGGAGGAGGAGAAGAGAGATTGACGGTGGCGCTTTGGCCATTTTTTTTTTATATTTCGGAAACGAGAAAATCAAACGATTCCAAGTGAAACCCGTGAATCGTTTGAGTAGAGTTTTTATTATGACGAAGAGATTTTAATTCTATCGAGAAACTATTTATAATAGAAATTAATAAATAAATAGATATGACCGTTTTGTCTAGGCGTATACGTGTGTATAATTGTATATGTATATTTTTAGTGTGGATCACAGCTGGATTTTTTAGAAAGCAAAAAAAAGGTTTGTGTTGTCTTTGTTTTTTTTTTCATGTGCGTCGGCTTAAATTTAGGCCGTTGTTAATAATTGAAAAAGTGGATTTTGTTATGACCGTGGAAACTTTAGTTAATTTGGCCAAGTTTTATAGGGTCTGTTTTTTTTTCCTGGATAATTAATTTGTCATCTTTTCTGGTTTTTGGCTGGTAATACTAAAAAAACTATCCAAGTTTAATCCAAAAATAAGTTTTTTTTGTGAATCTTGAAATAAGTTTCTGGGATTAATTTTACAATCCTAATTTTATCCATATATCCATAAACTCGTTGAAAAAAGGTAGAAAGAGTGTTGTTTTTGTTGGATATGTTTTTTAAAGATGTGCTAAATGAGGTCAAAGGAGATCTGAGTGTTTTCATTTTACTAATAAACTAATACTAACAAACTATACAGTTAACTATTAATTAGTAAATTAACCCATTACTAAAAAAAAAAAAAATTAACAAATGCATTAAAAATATGGAAAGCAAAAAAGAGGAGATAGGTCGACGCGGTTTGGGATGGTGTCGATGGACACGTGTTTGTAGGAGGGAATAGTTTGAAGTTTGAACACTACGGACCAAAGTATGAAGATGTCGAGGAAGCTGATTCTTAACTTTTACGTACCCTATCGCCTAAAAGCCCATTTGTTGTGTTTTCTTTGGAAGAAAAAGATTCTTTCATGTCTTTTATTCCACTATTTAGATTTAGGTAACAGTTTATTGTCATTATCAATGACATAGTTACACTGATTGCATACACAAACCACCTAACTTCTTTTATTAAATCTGCCACTTGTTTTTTCAATTAGAAATCACCATTGTTATTTTTTTATTATTACATAAAATAATTGACGCCACTAGATACTACATATCCCTTAAGAGCTAAGACTGTCAAGATTTGTTTGATATATCATATATATAACCAAATTGCCAAAATAAGTTTAAATGAGATAAATCAAGACATGGTTGTCCAATGATTGAAAATTTCGCTATGAAAATCAAGAAAGCAGGGGGTCAAGCCTTTGGGATTAGTTTGTGGTTAGCTAGATATCATAAATGGAGGAGAAAAAAAAAACTCGATTCTTCTATAATCTTTGGGATTAGTCACGGTTGTAAAAAAAGAAAGAAATTAAGATCAGATTAGGTCACGAGTAAAGAAGGCATATGTTCTGGATTGTACGGAAATTTCTTTGGGTGCGTATAATGTGAATTAAAGAATCACAAATAGGCTTTATTGGGCCTATTATACAATACAAGGTATCAGAAAGAAAAAATAAGGAATATGGTCACATTAATGGGCTTTATTGGGTCTAAAGCCTTGTCATAGCATTACTCTCCACGCCGCTGTCTAGTCACCCACCAACCAAACCTTGGCCAACACGTCCATAATATTTCATCCTCCCTCTTAATTTACTTAAATAGCCTCATCTTTCCTAATTTTATCAGGGAATATTCTCCTACACCTTAGACATATGCGTCTTTTCCAATCTAAAATATTGAGAGTATATTTTTATTTATATATGAGTGACCCCTGCGAGAGACAACGGCCACTGAACTCTCTCGATCTAATCTTTTAGCTCGCTCTCCATCGTCGTATCTGTGACTCTCGTGATCATCGTCTGAAAAAACTTGAGATAATGGCCAGAAAGTTCTTCGTCGGAGGCAACTGGAAATGCGTAAGTGATCAATCTTCTTTACCTAATATTTTGTGTACTTTGTTAGTTTTGTCACTGGTGGTCTCTCGTCCTTGATCCTTCCCCGATCAAATCAAAGAGATCGGAAAATCCCGATCTTAAGATCTAAGGTTTATTTTCACTGTTTGTAGCGATGGAACTTTGAATTCTAATGCATATGGTTTGGATTTGTCGATTCGATGTCGGATCTCAGTTTTTTTTTTTTTTTTTTTCAATTTTGAATACGATTGTTTCATCAATTGATATATCTCGTGTTCTAGCTTTGATGGATCTGTGTGTTAATTTTGTTGGGTTAACTATTTTAATATGTTAAGATGGATCATGCTCTTGTTCTTGTGAGAAAGATGCTTAATGTTTTTGTTCTGAAATTTTTAAATCTAATGTAGAACGGAACTGCTGAGGAGGTGAAGAAGATTGTGAACACTCTTAATGAAGCTCAAGTACCTTCACAGGATGTTGTAGGTGAGTGTAACATCTCCATTGCTTTGACGAGAATATATGGTTTTTTTGTTTTCCATGTCTATTGAACTTTAGGGATGTGATAGTGGAAAAAAATTTTGGGCATACAAGCAAACCTGTTTCAATGTGTATAGCTGTTATACAGTGATGCTGTGGGTTGATCAAATGTTTGGTGTTATCAGGAAGCATGATTGAATTGATCTAGTGTTTGTTGTTTATTCAAATTGTTCTTTATCATCTACTTGTGTTCCATCGTATTTATTATGGTTTGGAGTAATAATTTGATGGAAATTTTACCAATGCAGAGGTTGTGGTTAGCCCTCCATATGTTTTCCTTCCCCTGGTTAAGAGTACATTGAGGTCTGACTTTTATGTTGCGGCACAAAACTGTTGGGTTAAGAAAGGTGGTGCTTACACTGGTGAAGTGAGGTGAGATTCTCGTCACTGGTGTAGTATACTTTCAGCTCTTTTACCATTATTGCTTCATGCAGTAAAGATTTATGGTTTTGAAGATGAATATGATTGAGTTCAAAAGAAATCAATTCCTCCATCTGTTCTTCTTAGTTATATTGTTTCTTATAACAATTGAGTCACCCAAGTGATTAAGAAACAACAAATAGTTGATAGTAAGACCATGATTGGAGACCTGCCTCAGGTGTATAATAATCTACCTGTCTATTGGAGGCTTTCATAGGAAGAAGATATATAGTCTCTGGTGTCTGTACTTCCTGCTTAATATTTCCTGCTCTTATGCGTTTTGTAATTTTTGTGTGCAGCGCTGAGATGCTTGTGAACTTGGACATCCCATGGGTTATCCTTGGTCACTCTGAAAGGAGGGCAATCCTTAATGAATCAAACGAGGTTGGTGACTTTTTCCTTGACGAAATAAAATTTTGAAGTACTACTCAAATCAGCTTTTGAATCCATGATTTTGGTTTTTGACCTCTATCCTACATTTGTAGTTTGTCGGAGACAAGGTTGCCTATGCACTTGCTCAAGGTTTGAAAGTGATTGCTTGTGTTGGTGAGACTCTTGAGGAGCGGGAAGCTGGGTCGACCATGGATGTTGTGGCTGCCCAGACCAAAGCTATCGCTGGTATGTATACTGTCAAATACTTTTATCTCTTTTTGCTATCTGATTTTGTTCTCGTTGACAGTGAGACCTGATATGATGATAGACTTGATAGTGATTCCCTTTTCTACTCACTATACTCCCTTTGTGTGAGATTCAAACCACACAGAAATATTTGTTGTCTAAAAAACTCCTTTTTGTTGGTAATGGCAGATCGGGTGTCAAACTGGTCAAATGTTGTCATAGCCTATGAGCCAGTGTGGGCCATTGGAACCGGAAAGGTCGCTAGCCCAGCTCAAGCTCAAGAAGTAAGTGGTTCTCGATGCGCATTAGCACTTTAACGTTTTGCATATATGGTCATGATTTGATAGGAAAACCAATACTGTTTTCCTTACGAGAGCTTGTTTCGTTTATGAACAGGTACATGATGAGCTTAGGAAATGGCTGGCCAAGAACGTGAGTGCTGATGTTGCTGCTACAACCCGCATCATTTATGGAGGTAGATGATAACACTAATTTTAATTAAACACCCCTGTATAGTTTTCTATGTTACTTAGCTTGGTTATGTAAATTATTATCAGGATCCGTCAATGGTGGTAACTGCAAGGAGCTAGGTGGTCAGGCCGATGTTGATGGTTTCTTGGTCGGTGGTGCTTCTCTAAAGGTACATATATTATGGTTTCCCTTGTAATGATATATTCGTTTGTTTCTATCAACACCATGTCTAATGTTTTCATTCTTGGTTTTGCAGCCTGAGTTTATCGACATCATTAAGGCTGCAGAGGTGAAAAAAAGCGCTTAATGAGTTCATTAAGGAGTTTGAAAATCCTTTACTTTTCCATTCTCAACTCTGAAAAAATGAATAAGTTGATATTATGATACATTTTGCTTCAGTTGTATTTGGCAACAAACGTTTCTCTCTTACTATATTGTTTTGAGAACGCAGCAATCATTTTCATCGCCATTTATTTAGCTGTCAACTTTGCAAATCTCTTTTTTTCATAATCTTCCTAAGAGAAATTGTCTTTTGTGTTCATAACCTCTCGGGCGTTTCGATTAAATAAATATGTGATTCATAGTTTTTATCAATCAAACACTATTTCTACTGTCGGCTGGATCATAAACCAATTTACCATCGTGTTGAACAAATATTTTAATAATAAGTTATTTGTTCCTCCATTTTAGACCTTGGTATTTTGTTATTTTTGTTCCTCAAGTGTCAACCGCTGAGGAAATTACTTTACTTGTTAAATGAATGATGAGGATTGAGGAGAGTACAGGATAAGTGGGAAATGACTTTATTTTTCCTTTTATCGCTTTTGCCTATTGGTCTATCAATTTTGACATTTTAGCTTTTTGAACACTATTATTTTCAACTTTATTGTCGTCATCATGAAAAATGTCCAACACTAGGAAATACTATCATGTAGAGAGAGTAAAAAAAAAGAAATGAAATTCCATGGAGAAACTCATTATTAGGAATGTCAATGTTTGTAGAAAACTAGAAAACACAATGCTTATGTAATTTGAGTAAAACGGCTCAGTGGAACTAAAGTGATAATGTAAAAGAGACGGATAATAAGTCCAAAATAATTAAATAAGAGCTCCCGTATGTCAGAATTGTTCAAAACATTTATTAAAAAATTGGGCTCAATATGATGAAAATGTATATGGATCTTGACCCGACCACGAAAATCCAACTAGTGCCAATAAAACTCCCGCAATATGTGACTTAGCTGCAAATGTGATAACGTATTATCTCCCAAGTCAACCCACATTTCTGGTGGTTTATATTTTATTTATTTCTGAGTAATATTTAAACATTTAGGGATTGAAAATTTATGAGTATTATATTATTTAGTTGACCTTAGACTTATTTGCGTAACGAGAAAACAATTGTGACCTTAGAAAAGGAACTTTGACTAAGTCATCGATCATTTCGGCAATGGAGTAATTTTGGGTCCGTATGACGTTTAAGTTTTTTTGTAATTTTTTCTCTGTTTAAATTCAATATTTTGCTCTGTTTTAAGAACTTGCATTTATCGATTTTTTTGTAAACTACTTTAAGAAACTCATGTCCCATCCCATGATCCTAAATTTAATTAATGGTTAATTACATTATACACAAGTAGTCAAGTATATTCTTTTTCTGACAACTCTTATTTTTCTTACCTACTTGTATAGACTTAAATTTATTTCCTAGTTAATTATACTAAACATAAGTAGATATTTTTCTTTTGGCGAAAAAAAAAAAAATAGATATTTTTCTTAGTTCGTACAAATCTTATTTTTCTTACCTACTTGTATAAACCTTGTTGAACTTTGACAAGGTTGAATTTTGCTTTTGTATACGTTTCTATCAGACCACTATTACTAAACCCGAATCTGTCTCATCATTCCACACCCAAAGCATATAACTCGGAAATATCTATGATTACAATTTACTACATGAATATCTATCATTTTCGACAAAACTTTCTCTCTTTTTTCTTTTGCATCCAACCCCACCACGGCAAATTCAGGCCAGTAAAAGATTACAAAATCTCATGACCATCTGACTCAGTTGTCATATCTATCAAAGACGTTATTTAGTGATCTTTTTGCACGTTAAGCTCAAATCATTAAATTAATATGACTAATTTATTTTAGAACTCGCTTCCATCAACTACAACCCCAAAAAAAATTTCTTCTGGTCAAAAATATCACTTTTTGTCTGAATTCGTTTTTTTTTTGGACAAGAAAAAGACCTTTCTTCTTCCTTCGGTTGCCTCAAGTACCATCTCATCAACAACATCTATCTTCTCTTTCTCTCATCCTCTCTCTTCTTCAGTGTATACTTTTTTCACATCTCTTTCTCTTTTTTCTCTTTATTGTTTAGCTTTAATGAGTTTTATCTGACAGAATCTGCTCTACCCAAAAACAGCAAAAGAAGCAATTCATTGTCAGAAAAAGAAGGGCCAAAAAACGATCTTCTTCATCATTCTACTAAATGGGTTCTTGTCTCAGTTCTCGTGTTCTTAGTACGTTCTCTACAACTAAAACTTTTTTCTTCATCTCCCATTTTTGTGTTTTTCTTGCATGTGTATCTCTTCAAATCCGTGATCTTTTTGGTTAATTAATAATGGGTTTTAAGAAAAGGAATGGAATTTGCAAGAATCTTGTTCCCGTGATCTAACTAACTAAAAAAGTTTTCCCCTTTTTTTTTGTGTGCTCTCAATTTTGACTCTGGTCAACGCTTTTGTGTTTGTGCAGATAAGAGTAGTAGTGGTCTCGATGATCTTCATCTCTCGAGCTGTAAATCTTCATCATCAGCTGCAGCTCATAAGACAGAAGGAGAGATTCTTAGCTCAACGAGCGTTAAAAGCTTTAGCTTTAATGAACTTAAACTAGCAACCAGAAACTTTAGATCGGCCTCTGTTGTTGGAGAAGGTGGCTTTGGTTGTGTCTTTAGAGGTTGGCTTGATGAGACTACTCTTACTCCTACCAAATCTAGTTCCGGTCTTGTAATTGCTGTTAAGCGACTTAACCCTGATGGTTTTCAAGGTCACCGAGAATGGCTGGTACAACACTTGTTCTTATGTTTGATTTATGATACTCTGTGTTTTTGTGTGTGTTGGCTCTGATTCTGATCTTTTGTGTTTTTTTTTTGTTGGTTGGGATACAGACGGAGATCAACTACTTGGGGCAGTTAAGTCACCCGAATTTGGTTAAGTTGATTGGTTATTGCTTGGAAGATGAACAACGGCTTCTTGTGTATGAGTTTATGCACAAGGGTAGTCTCGAGAATCATCTGTTTGCAAGTGAGTCGTTGATCTAGTTCTTGATAACAATCCGTGTTTTATGAGACTTGTTTGTTCTTACGTTTGAATGGTTTTTTGAAGATGGAAATCGGGATTTTAAGCCCCTCTCTTGGATTCTACGGATTAAGGTTGCACTTGATGCAGCGAAAGGTCTTGCATTTCTTCATAGCGATCCCGTCAAAGTCATATACCGAGACATTAAGGCGTCAAACATCTTGCTAGACTCGGTATTCTGCTCTTTCGAAAAACCTTCAAGTCTACTTGTTGTCTTTATCAAAGACTTGAAGATTCTGACTTTTGTTTTTCAAACACCAGGACTTCAACGCAAAGCTTTCAGACTTTGGGTTAGCGAGAGACGGTCCAATGGGAGAGACAAGCTATGTTAGTACTAGGGTCATGGGTACATTCGGGTACGCAGCTCCTGAGTACGTCTCAACAGGTAAATTCTACACTCGGATGTAAACTGTCACTAAGATATGATACAAGCAAAATGGTTGGATAACAAAATGTTTGCACGAATGTGAATTTGAAGATAGCAACTACTACATTTATGTGGTTAAAGTCACATGCTATGTGCCTAAAAGAGTGGTTAGTAGCTAGTTTCGTTCTCTCATCTTTCTATCTTTTTCAGGTCACTTGAATGCTAGAAGCGACGTGTACAGTTTCGGGGTTGTTCTGCTAGAACTACTATGTGGAAGGCAAGCACTGGACCATAACCGCCCGGCCAAGGAGCAAAACCTTGTAGATTGGGCTCGACCTTACCTCACAAGCAGGCGAAAGGTTCTACTAATTGTGGACACTCGGCTCAACTCACAGTACAAACCCGAAGGGGCCGTGAGACTGGCAAGCATTGCTGTGCAGTGCCTCTCATTCGAACCCAAATCACGCCCGACCATGGACCAAGTGGTTCGAGCCTTGATACAGCTGCAAGACAGCGTGGTTAAACCGGGTCTACATAAACCGGCCAATGTTGACCCGGTTAAGGTTAAGGATACCAAGAAACTTGTGGGATTGAAAACAGAAGACAAGTACCAGAGAAACGGTTTAAACAAAAAACCCGTTGGATTGTAGTAGGTAGGGAAATATAAGGTTACTGGTTAGGTACTCTTCATGTCTTCTTCTTGTGTATTGTAATATTGTGTGAAGTGATTTTCTACACTGCTTATAGTTTTGCTCCTGAAAATATTGATTTAGAGATATTTGTTTCTTTCTCTCTATATTTTGGTGATATATGCCAAAATGTGGTACAGATCAATTCCACTCTCTTGTAACATTTTAGTTTACTATATATGTAACTAATTTCTGTCAAATTGATATGTTTAGTGAATATGAATTATTAGAGTTGATGATTCAATTATCTGCTATCTAAAAATAGACAGAATACTAGAATAGTACAACAAACACATAATGCAACATAACTATCAATTCCGAAGTCCCCAAAATACCATAAATATCAAATTCCATGAACATTGCCACTAACCAAATAAATATTAAATCTTAGGTTGATTAAGCCAACATGGATCTGAGTTAGATCAAAGTAACCCTTGAAATAAATAAGTTTGGTGAGGTGAATTGTGTTTTGAAAACCTGAAATTGACTTAGCAGTGAAATTTTTTTGACTATGTTGAATGGTTGATTAAGGGTTACTTTGTTTTTTTTTTTGTCGGCCAATTTATCTATTAGATAAAGAAATATAGTACAAAAACGTTTAGAAATACATTTAACAGACCCAAGAAACAACCATAGGAGAATTTTTTAGCCTAGCTTCTTTTGCTAATCTATCAGCAAGAACATTAAATTGACGCGGGATAAACTTAAAGTGATAGAAATCTTCAGCCATAGCAAGGATATCCTCCAAATACGCTTGGATCTCTATATGGCCAGAATTAGGTTCATTGTGCTGCTCTGCTTGTTCAAGATAATGAAAAAGAGTAGATGAATCACCACAAAGAGTGACATTGCGATAATTCAGTCTCCTGAGTTGCAGCAAGGCTTCCCGTAAGGCAAGGGCTTCCGCTTCAATAGCTGAGCTAGTAGGTTCAAGTGAAGAAAAGCCTTGAAGTATATTTCTATGCTGAGCATCAAATAGAGCCCATCCAATGCCTGCTTTGCTTTCAGGATTAATCCAGGACCCATCTGTGCAACAATAAAATTGAGAGTCAACATGTAAGGGGGCAGTAAATGGAGGAGATGCCTTGTGCAGCTTGGGTTGTAAATAATTAGTATTATTTGAGTCAGTCCACAAGCGCCAATCTAAAAGACCTTTGTGAATAATGTCTGGAATAGGCCAACGTTTGCTATTGAAAAGCAAATCCTTCCATATACGCCATCCAATATAAGGGAAGAGAAGGTCTTTTGACTTTTCCTTTGCCTTAGGAGCCAACAGGTCTTGCACTATATCAAAAAGAGAATGTGACTCAGTGTACTGACCTGATGGAATAGATAGGGGTCATAAAGTTTAAAGGTTACTAAAGCTGTATTCTTTTTCCACAACTTTTTACTGTTTCTCTAATTGTCAATCAACAATCTTACCTTTTTTCTGTTTAAAAAAGAAATATATACGCCATATGGAAAATGCGAAAAAAGGAAAATCACAATAAGGTCAAGCCCATTTAATAAATGGGCCAAGCTCTCGGATCAAAAGAAAAATAAAAATAAAAATAATCAAGTCTTCTTCTCTCTTCTCTGATCTCTCATAAGAGCTTAGGGTTCACTTTAGATCTGTCTTTGAACAATTTTCTTGACTATCTTCTCTCTGCTACTCTCAAGTGACCAAGCAACTCCGTCGCAGGTAAATTCCTGAGCTTCTCTTTTGAAAATTCCCCAATCCTCCGATCGTTAACCCTAATTTCCTTACTGTTTCTCCAAGAAACATGTTTTTCTTTTGACGAATTTGAAGATCTTGCGTTGAGAAATTCGTTTGTTTGTTTGGTAGGTGATGAGGAGATACAGTCCGCCTTATTACAGTCCTCCGAGGAGAGGATACGGTGGTCGAGGTAGAAGTCCTCCTCCTCCTCCACGACGTGGATATGGTGGGGGTGGTGGTGGTGGTGGACGTAGAGGATCTAGCCATGGAAGTCTCTTGGTTCGTAACATTCCTCTTGATTGCAGGTAAATTCTCTTTCTTTGGTTTAAAGTTTGGATTTTTTTTTAGTTTTATCTTTGAAGATTTCATTGGTTTGTTGATTTTGTTGCTTTTCTTGGTTTGGTTTTGCAGACCTGAAGAGCTTCGTGTGCCCTTTGAGAGGTTTGGACCTGTGAGAGATGTCTATATCCCCAGAGACTATTACTCCGGGTGAGCCTATTCTTTCCTTCTCCATGTCCTTATCTTGTACTGCAAAAAGGGTCTCTTTTGAGTTTTGAATCTTTGTAGATAGACTAGTTATGTGATGGTTAGCATATGATTCTTTTTTTCCTGTAGAATTTGCTTTGTTTACGATTGAAATGCTGTCTAAACACTTTGCTGCTTCATATTCAATGCTGAACCATTTGTTATAAAAAGAGTGTTCATAAGTCGCCAACTTGTGCACAAAGTGAGGAAAAATACAAATGACATATGAGTTTGAGTTTTGATTTTGATTTTGACGCAAGCTGTGCGTGTAACTTTTTTTTGTTTGTTATACACTCCACTTTTTGATCGAGCTAAGTTCTCGAGGTGAGAAGAGACCCTTTTGGTTGAGTTCTCGATTTTTTTTTCAGAGCTTTTTGTTTTGGAGTTCTTTTTTTCATAGTAAATTAAACATTCCACTGATTTCCCAGGGGGTATGTTGGCTTGAAGTTAAAACAAGACCAAGCCCCACATTTGATGAAGGCCTCATGATAAAATCTTAACTTAAGGATATTAAGGGTCATTTCAAATCAAGAATGTTTTGTTTGGAAGCAAGTTATAAGTGAAGCATGTTTTGTTTGGAAGGAAGTAATAAGTGAAGAATATTTTGTTTGGAAGCAAGTAATATGTGAAGAATGTTTTGTTTGGAAGCAAGTAGTAAGTGAAGAATGTCTATATGGAAGCAGTAATAAGTGAAGCATGTTCTTATGAAGCTATACAATAAATTACTCAAAACTTTAGAAGTTTGTTGGGGAAGGCGACTTGAAGAGAACTTAAGTTTGAGATCAAGTTCTGCTTATTTTTACAAGATCTCTGCTTTTCTTAGAAGTTCTCACACGATGACACTTACTTAGAAGTTCTCTGAAGCTATAGACTGTAGGCTGATTTTTCTGGTAATTCTAGATTATCTGGTGTTTTGTGCATTTGCTATCAACCATCAACCACTTGGAATGATAAGCTTCTGATGAATGATGCAGGGAACCGAGGGGGTTTGCTTTTGTTGAGTTTGTTGATGCATATGATGCTGGGGAGGCTCAAAGAAGCATGAACAGGAGAATTTTTGCCGGTAGAGAGATAACTGTGGTTGTTGCTTCAGAGTCTAGGAAAAGGCCTGAAGAGATGCGTGTGAAGACTAGGACTCGTAGTAGGTAAGTTGCTATATTTCTGATTGCTTAAGCAAAGAAGTTATAAATCAAATCTCTCTTCGTGATTAATGCTCTGCAAGTTATCTATCATTTATAAAAAAAAGTTGAGAAGGAAATAATTGATGAGTTGTCTCAATTTTTCAGGGAACCTTCAGGCTCCAGAGGTCGTTCTCATGGTTAGTAATTTCTCTTTTGTTATGCACATGTTATGTTCTATACCAGCAAAGATTCCACATATATGAGCACAGCTAGATTGTAACGCACTTGTTTATATACACAGCTTGAGTATGTCTATGGTTTTTTGTTCTCAGGACGGTCTCGTTCACGTTCAATCTCTCGATCACGTTCTCCTCGTCGTCCATCAGATTCTAGAAGCAGATACCGATCAAGGTAATATTTATTCTTCATCACACATACCTTGCCATCACTGTCAAGTCAACAAAATGTATATATGATTTTACATAACGATGTTACAGGTCTTACTCTCCTGCACCAAGACGAAGAGGAGCAGACTATTCAGCATCTCCGAGGAGAAGGCAAGAGGAACGTCCACGATCACCACCAAGAGGTCCTCCTCGTGGAGAAGAAGATGGAAAATACAGTCGCAGGTCCTATTCCCCTGGCTATGAAGGTGCTACTGCTGCTCCAGATCGGGACAGAAATGGAGACAATGAGATCAGAGAGTAAGTGAAACATTGTTTCTGATTTTAGTTTGCCCATGAGGATTGTGTCTAATGTTTTTGTGTTTGGACATTGGTCATTTTAGAAAACCGGGCTATGAAGCAGAGGATAGACTTCGTGGTGGAAGAGCAGTTTCAAGGTCGCCATCAGGATCCAGGTCCAGGTCTGTGGAGGTATCTCCAAGATGAAACATGTGTCAAGAAGCCGACCAAAACATTGTGCAACGCTTTATGGGTTTTGCCTCTGTTGTTTCTCTAGTAGTGGTCTCTGTGTCTTTAAAAACTCCCGAGTTTGGTTTGTTAAAAAGATAGTCGTCGTGTGATGTGATGTTACTTGAAATCGTACTCTGTTTGTGGGTCTTATTTTGAAGTTGTATGAAGATTGGTTATGCTTTTGATGTGAGAAACGTTTAAAACCCACAATGGTCGAGTAGTCAAGTCTTCTCTCGTATGGTCAAGATCGAGAACTTCAACTTTTTTTTGTTCCCGAGCAGCCTTTGCAAATCCTATAGGAATAGTCAGGTCTAAGAATTTCTGAGAAGAAGAGGGATTAAAAAGACTCCATCTAGAAGAAGCCATAATGATGTTTTCTTGGGTCTAGTTTGATCAAAGGTCCAAAGACTTTTTTATTGGTTCGTATACATATTTTCAAGCAGCCAATCGACTTTCCTTAAAATCAAATAAAGGTAAAATGGTCATTTAGCTTAGTTGACCAGACCAAAAACTTTAGGTTTTGCCTCCTCTTAACATACATAATAAATGGTTTGGTTTGGTTTGATCAAGTCTTGGAACCACGACGCAGGTTATGTTTGAATATTGGAAAAGAATAAATAAGAATAGTAAAAATCATTATGTGAACGAGAAAGTCTGCGTGTTCTTGCTTCTGTATTTAAAGACTTTGTCTGACACATCCACTTCATCAATAGTTTCTCTTTCTTCTTCTCCTTCTTCTTTTTCTTTAAGAAACAATACAAACCCCAAAAACTTACAAAAAATAACTCTACAGAGATGGCTGTTGGAATCCTTGAGGTTAGCCTGATCAGTGGCAAAGGTCTTAAGCGCTCTGATTTTCTTGGTAATAATCTCCATATTCTCTCAGATTTGGTATCCTTTCATAATTTAAAAACCCTTTTTTCTTGGTTTTTACTTACTTTTTTTTTTTTTGGTTTGGTTTGAGTTTAGGCAAGATAGATCCATATGTTGAGATCCAATACAAAGGCCAAACCCGCAAAAGTAGCGTTGCTAAAGGTAATTAACTTTCTAATTCTCTTCTCTCCATATTTCCGAATCTCTATCAGCTTTATTCGGCTTTTTAGTTTGACTTCTTTTTTTTTTTTTTTTCGTTTTATGTGAGAGACTATTTCTCCAATTTCATTTTCTATTTACTCGTTCTTTAGAAATAAAACGCCCACATGCTGGTGTAAGTTGATGGTTGTACATAAAAATAATAATAGTTGCAACTGGCATCCATAGGTTTTTCAATTTCAATTATCCCCATAGCCATTACATGCTAGCTTAGACTAACACTATTTTTTTCTTATAGTTATTTCTAGTAAAATTAAAATTTCGTAATGGTAATAATACTATTTTATATTGAGACATTTTGTGGTAGCTTGTAAGTTTCTTTTCTTGTATGGTTTAAATCTTGACAAAATGATGTGTGTGGAATCTGTGGATAGAGCTTTCTTCTGAAAGTAGTCATCTCATTTAGTGTGATATTGTCTGGCCAACCTCATTTTTAACTAATCATCAATACACCAAACTTCATTTATTTAACTAATTAGGACTCACAATAATAACTTCTTGTTTACTAGCTATAAGAAATAATAATTTCATTTCCTATAAAAATGGGCAGTGAAATGTGATATAAACAATCCTATACCTTAGTGATGTTTTACTGAAGAAAATAAATAGTGTATTAGTAGTCAGATATTGACTGAACTTTGTTTGTTACTTAAATGAAGAAGATGGAGGTAGAAATCCGACATGGAATGATAAATTGAGATGGAGAGCAGAGTTTCCTGGCTCCGGCGCCGATTACAAACTCATTGTCAAAGTCATGGATCATGATACTTTCTCCTCTGACGATTTCATCGGCGAAGCCACGTACGTTTATCATATCATGATAGCCTAAACTATAAATAACTGAAATCGAAAAGAAAAAAAAGGATATGGACTAATCTTGATTAATGGAAATGAAAAAAATAGGGTACATGTGAAAGAGCTATTGGAAATGGGAGTGGAGAAGGGAACGGCCGAGCTAAGGCCTACCAAGTACAACATTGTTGACTCTGATCTCTCCTTTGTCGGCGAGCTTCTCATCGGAGTTTCTTACTCTCTTTTGGTTAGTTCTTTCTCTTTCTTTCTTACTTCTTCTTTTTTAACTAAAGTTTATTTACCCTCTCACTGAATTAAACTTTTCTTTTGTTGGGAATTTGCAGCAAGACAGGGGAATGGATGGAGAACAGTTTGGAGGATGGAAGCATAGCCAAGTTGATTAGTTTCGTTTCTTAAAACTGCTGATTTTATCTTCTTCTTTAATCTTTAGTGTCAACATCATTAAGATATTCATAAGTACCAAAAATATTAAAATCAAAATGTATCATGATTTGTTGGTTGTGGGGAATCTCCTTGATTTATAGTAAGAGCATGTGTATGAAATCTCATTGTATTTATAATTTATATTATACAGAAATGTATCAAAATAATGTTATAAAATTGCTAACATTTCCACAAAGTGACAAAAAAAATTCCCCAGATCAACTGGCTGACGAAGACGGCTCAACCATGAAATTAGCTATCCTGTTCAACAGGTTTAAACCAAACACCGTTTCTTCGCAATTGATCTTGACTGTTATATTCAGAACTTCGGTGCATTTGCCTTCGACTGTGATAGTAATCAAAAGAGGGATCTCACTGCTCAAGATTTTGCTGCTGAATCTTAATCGCAGACCAGTTGCATCTTCGAGTGAGTTTGCAACTGGTAAATCCACGGATACAAGGTGTAGATTTGAGTTGCTAAGCACCTTTAGTGTTATACACTCGCAGATGCTGAGAAATTTGTCTTTCCCATTCTCCATTCTTGAATCTTTAACATGATCGTCAAAAGTACACCTACCAAAAGTGAAGAGAACCCAGGTTAGGGAATCATTATGCGAAATGAAAATGATCTTTCTGAAATTTTTTTGTGCACAAAGTATAAGTCGAAGTTTCTTATACATCAACCTCAAATTTAAGTAGAGAAAGCAGCTAACCTTCGACTATACTCAAACATTCCAGGTAATCGAGATTCTGTGGCTAAGAATTCCTCGATACTCATTGAAAATGGTTTCACAAGGTATCCAAGATCAGGTCGTAACTTGACAGGAACCTCCTTTCCATTGTAATGTAAGGTTAACCTCATGGGAAGCAGGTGGTGATGAAACCGAACCTGGATAAGCCTCTTTGCGCTCTGACGTGGTTCAAGGCAGCTGATTTCCTCCATTGGAATTAGAGTTGGCACATTGTTGTAAGATGCACTGCAGGGTTTTCCAAAAAAGAAATGAGATAATCTGAGAAAAAAAAGATAATGGCTTTCTACCAGAACTAATTCCTTGCAAGATTCAGAATGAAAACTTGTGTAATATAACATGTAGTTAGGCACTTTCATGTGGACTAAGCGATAGATGGATTAGGCAAGAAACGGGTTTTCTAAATCAATTGCGTATAAAGATATCAAACTTACTTTGCTTTACCAACCAAAGTCTGTTCAGAAGAGTCTGCTACCTTCATCGATTCTTCATCTTCCAAATTCACCTCCAGGATAGGTTCAGCAGAACTGTTCTCAAACAGAACTTCTACGCAAACATGTAATGGAGATACAGTAGAGACTTCAGATAAAAAGGTATAGCCTACCTTCAAGCCACTGCCATTTCCAGGGTCTAAGAGACTATAGCTTTTAGGCTTCACTCGGCTTCCTATATCACCAATGGATATCTTCGCATAAGAGCTCTGATTACTATTTAATGCAGATGGAGTTTGGTTTGATGTACTAGGCTGATCATCTAACCACAAATCCAGGGCCTTTTTGGACCTTAGTTCTTCTTGGTCAGCGGAAACAGAAGTCTCTGAAATTTGAATTAAAGGAGCAGCTGGATCATTGACACCATTAGACACTGTTCTTTCATCACCGTCACTGCTGCAATCTGAACCAATAGAAGATTCAGAGTCATAATCAGAGGAGCCATCGTCATCCACTGTTTCAGATGATTCCCGAGAATCATCTAAATCAGCTGCGGCCTCTCTTTGTCTGTCTAAATCTGACAGCTGGTCTTGTTCTTCAAAAACAAAACTGCAGGGCTTTGGAAGAGGTTCGTATCCAGGGGCTGCATGAAGAACTATCTGTGATAGAGATCCAGGAAGATAAAAACGATTGTGCAGGGCTAAAGGTGAAAAAGGTGTCAGTTTTCTTCCAAAGACATGTTCCACAACATGCGTAGCAATATGTTCTTGTGATGCAACACTGTCTTCTGCTGGCTTATGACAAGCTAATTTGGATGACAGCAGTTTCTTGAGGAAACGAGTTCGATCACGAACATCATAGCTTAAGTCACATTCACCCAATTCAAACACATAAATCACAACCCTTTTCAACATCTGAAAGTCGTCAGCCTCTGCACTTTTTAGAACCTGCAATTACGACGAGAATTCGAAAATTACTTGAAATATCTTTTTCCTGTAGTGAGACGTGGAAAGGTAAAATTACTCATTGGCACGAGCAATAAAGATTTTCATAGCATACCTAAGAGATTTCACAGGACAGAAAATCCATAGGATGAAATGTTATCATTAGTGAAGAAATAGAGCTGATTGTTTCAGAGAGGTGATAAATTTGTTCAAATAGCAGAAATGTAGATGTACTTTTTCATTTAATCATATAGCCTTTCTTTCAATGGGGTGGATGAAGAAATATAATACTATGGAACTCAGAATAAGAATTTTTGAGGCAACGCTATACCTTAGCAGTAGTATTGAGAATCTGAAGTTTTGTCTCTGATGCCTCTGATTTAAAGCTCCATGCAAGGTACTTGGTTATTGTGGTAAGCATCTTAGGAATGATATGACCCAAAGAGCAGTAGACCCCCACCATCCAAATAATAATTGCACGAGCAGCAGCTACCTTGATTGAATCCAGACTACGAAACAGCTGAATTAAAACCTTCAAACAACCAAAATGAACAAGAAAAAAATCAATACGTTATTGAAAATAAATGTTCTTTTTTTTTTTTGGCAAACAAATTGAAAATAAATGTTCGAAAGAGTTATTTTTGAGATCATTGCAGTAGGTGCTAAGCATTTGTTTTGAAAATGGTGCGAATTATATGTGCAGTCAGTGAAGGAGATGTGTATACTTTCTCATGACGAAGGGGATCTCGCTCTATGATAGTCTGAATCGACATCACGGCTTGCACCAACACTCCAGCTTCTCCATCCACTGACTCAAAATCGCCAGCAAAAGATTCTGCAACAATGTGAGAGCTACTTCAACTGAACTGCCAAATAGGTTAACTAATGAATGCAAGTGAAATAAAGCAGAACTGACCCTGTCGAACTAGTGCTAATAATCCATCAAGACATGTAGTTGGAATTGTTGGCAGTCTTTTTGCACACAAACCAATTGCTGCAACTGTATCAGCCGCAAATCTCCTGTCTGGATCTTTAACATAATCCTGAAAAAAGCTCACAGTTAAAAAATCAGTCATGCACACATCATCTTGGCCATAAATTACTGTACACGGACAAAGATGACAATGCTTCTGTAACAACACTTAGAAGTGCTTATTTATCATACTGGAAGGTCAAATGATCACACAAACTTTCCAGAATGAACCAAAAAAGTTTATAATCGAATTTTAAGGATAAAGTAGTACCTCAAACTCTCTCAAAATTGAAGAGATAGATGAAGTGGTAGCAACGAGAGAAAGCATTTCCAGCTTGTATGCTTTAACTTGATATGCATCTGAGGAACAAATAAAGAAAGTTTCGAAGTGTGGAGCAAAGAGAGAAGGGACTGCTTTGGCAAAAACTAGGATGTTGCAGAGGACCTGCCACAAATATGAATAAGATAATGTTCAGAGAGCATATTTCCTCAAGACTACACAGCATGTATGGAATGGATTAACCAGTTAAACATTGGTGGGGGAAATAATAGAATGTTACCACATATTTGGAGGCGCTGGATGACCTAAGCAAAAACAAGAGCGGTTTAACAATTTTCTTAACCTCTTCCAGAGGCGCCATAATCCATTGAACGCCAGCTGCTGCTAGTACAACCGCACTGTTATTACTCCATAGCAATGGGGATGTACACTGAAGCAGGATCTTAACATCTTCATTATGTGCAATAGATGTGGTCTCTTTGCTATCGAAAGCAGATGACACTGTATCGGTGTAACTAGATCTTGATAGATACTCATCTGGACCTTCAATGTAACATTTAGATACAAGGCTGACCAGATTAACATCAAATGAATCACTTTTACCACCATCTTCTTCTTTATCCAATGTAAGATCTCTGCCTAGGCCATCCTTCTCACATAAGCCATTACTATCCATACCATGTAGGGACAACATCAAAGATTCCCGTACAAGTCCATGCCTAGCAACCACATAGCGCAAAAGAGTTCCTATGAGTAATATCTGACCCCACTCTTCTACGTCAGGAAGAATCTGGCACAACTTCTTATAGTTCTTTCCAATCAGTTTGAAGTTATTTGGACAGATGGAGGTGAATGCCGCTGCCGCAGCTCCAACTACTCCTGGAGAATGGTCATTCAACAGTATCCCAACTAGCTGCAACAAGGTTAATCGTTTCAATGAAAAATCCCTAAGCCCTAGAACATCAAAAACATAATACCTACCCTCATTTTCAAACACTAGACTATGAATAAACAGAAACTTGACAAGATATTCAAATCCTAGTGCCCATCTATATACATAGCATAGTAAAAAAAGTATTTGAACTACCAACGGGAAGCATGAGTTATACAACAACTAAAAGATATAGACAGGACAAACCTCTTCAATCGCAGAAGCATGTTCTTCCAGCCGCAAATCATGCAACTTCGGAAGAGCATTTGCAGCATATTTCCGGACATAAACCGCTGGATCCCTAGCACATTTACCCACAGCTGCGAGTGCAATAGGTGCAATAACATGTAAGCGAATCCCCGCCATTGTACGAAGTGCCCAAGCCCTAACCAATGGATTTGGATCCCCCAAGTCCTTCTGAAAATAGTTGATCGACAGCAACGCTTCATTTGGACGCCTACATAATCAATAGAAGCTAATAATGTAGATGCACAAACAAAAGTAAACACAATTTAGAGAAATACACAAAAGACTTAAGCAGATTTCGGATTCACATACTTTTCTGCATATTGTAGCAAATACAAGTAAACAAGCTTCTTCACTTCCGATGACTGCGACGCCACATTCTTCACCACCTGCCATTAAAATTCGTCCAAAACTGTTTCAAAATCGGAGCAGCGAAAATTCTTCTCTCACCCGGTCAATTCGAAACAAAATTATCAAAAGGGATCAAATCAAATAAGACAAACACCTGAGGGAAGAAATTGGAGACATCAGAGCCCTGAGCGATAAGAGCAAGGAGACGCTTAAGAGCTTCACATTTCTCAGATTCGAACTTGCTATCGAGAAGTGGAGCAATGTTGACGTCTTCCGGATCATCATAAAGATGAGCGTCAGTGCCGATCCGGTGCACCACAGCTGAAGCTTTGCTTAGAGTCTCCGACGTCGAACCAAACTTATTGAACATTTGAAGTTTCCGATCAAATCCAATTCCGAAATTCAGAGGAAAAAAACTTTCAGCTGTAAACAAGGAGACGATGAAACGAACTTTTCAGAAGAGAAGCCTTGTGTTTGGATGATGGAATAGCTTTGTCCAGAACCTGCATTGGAGTAAACCCGTAGTGGATAAACCGGATCTTACTAAGCAGATCCTAAACCGAATAAAGCCCATCAAGAATGGGCTCATAATAAAACCCTAAACCCATCTTTATATTTATATGCTTAAGTCGCCGTCTTCTTCATCAGATTTTCTCCTGCAAATGCTTTCCCTGAAAATGAATCTGGAATTTTTTTTTTTTTTTTGAAATTTAAAATATTGGTGGGTGATGATTAAAAAGAGAGAGGCTTGAGTGGGGAGTGTGAACAAAACTCTCATGGGATGAAGAAAAAAAAAAGCCCAAATCGAAATCGAAGGAGAAATAACATTTGATTAATGTTTTTTTTCCCTTTTTATGATTTAGGGTTCTTTCTTTCATCCCTATCCCTCGATGACGGTCCTTCCAAGTTACACTTGATATGAGCCCTTTTACTATATACTTTCGTTTAATTGTTGTGTTGGATTTGGTGTTCTTAACCTAAATCAGTAAATCTGTTCCAGGGAAGAAAAAAATATTATAACTTTAAACGAAGCAAAAGATAATGTCGGTTAATCTATATAATTCAAAAAATTTGAAGAATTGAATTAAATTATACTAGATGACAACAAAATGGTTAATTAATTTTGAGAGTAACTGGATCATATGGCAAAACTGAAACACCAATTGGATATGAGTTTACTAAAGAGAACATAACACAAAAGGATTTGCAATTTGATTCAGACCATAATCAAATGTGTTGCCGTTGCATCATTTTGACATGTTATAACTTACATAACACAATCACCCTATTGGTAAGGATGAGGATAAAGAGTTTTAGGGTACTTAATCAGAATCCTTGCGTTTTCTTCCGAGTATTGAAGCTCTCTGGAATCTAGGTCCACCTGTTCTCCACTTCTTGAAGGCTGTCATTGACAAATGTGCTGCTTCATACACTTCAAAAATATCACAGAAACAAAAATAGATTGTTAATTTTGGTACAAGCTTGAGATGGTTAACACTAAATTCACTACCATGGATGGAGTTCAAAACAAAAAGGCTTACAGTTTGTTTCTTCTTTTGTTAAGAACGACAGGTACTTGGAAGCTGTTATGTGAGCTGCTGTGTATACTTTTGTTAGTGCCTCTTTGTATCTGATCTTAAACGCAGTGGATAGCAAGATCCCAAGTGTTCTATCCGTAACCCTGTTTAGACCAAAAACCAGTATGATTACCACAACAAAGATTTGAACAAATAATTTACTTTATCAAGACACTGTAATAATCTAGTTTTCATGCTCAATCCACGGTGAAATCTTTCTAAAAGAGCTATCTTTCGCAAGGATTAGAAATTGACACCAGAAAAAACCGACTTTTGTTCTTAAAACCAAGAGATAATACAACAACAAAATGAAGGGGAGGTAAGTGGACGAAGTCATAAAGGAACTCACAGTGGCTCTAACTTGCATCCGAATTCATAAAAATAAGGACAGCGAGATCTAAGATCGACGTATGCTGCATCAGCCTGAACTTCAAGCCTCGTCCTGCATAAAACAAACAAAGCCATGAAAAGACTGCTACAGGGCAAAAGAAGCAAATGCTTAAAAGGCCAATCTGAAATTTTAATTTAAACATTTCACGGAGGCAGAAGAAAGAAAGAAAGAAAGAGAAGCAAATTGACAAACTAGATTTTTTCGACATTTATACTCCATTCTATAAAATACATAATGCCAAGATTACAGTAAAGCTACAGAATGCTTACTTTTGGTCGAAGCAGGGAGGAAGGTTTATGGTAACAGCTTGTCTCAAGTGCAACTCATGAGCAAGCCAGAAGGGTAGTTCAACTTTAGAGCCTTGTTCAGCCTGTTACATAAAAATCATATCAGAAAGGAAAATATGAAATAGCCATTACAAATTTTGCACCGGGAATGAGAACACTAACACAATTTGTTTCTGCACTTGGATCAATAGTCACTCCGTTTGCTGTTTTGTGGAATAAAACCGGTACAAACTAAAACAAGGTAAGATCAGCTTTCTAATTTAATAAGAGAGCCTCAAGCAAAGCTATTGGAGAAGAAAGGTGACCTCTTCCTCTATAAGTATGTCATCAATGTCAAAGTACTTGGCCATCCCCTAAGGCTGATTCCACACCACCTTACCCTTGAGATTAAATTCGCGGTCTGTGAGAGTTAAAAGCAAACCATAAGAGCACTCAGAAACCAACCTCTTAATAGATTGCCATTGAAATTGCCAGACTCAAATCTGGGATTCCAGATTTACAAACAATTCAACAACTAGAGAGTTTAGAACAGTGACAGAGAAGTCCAAATGCCCAAAACCTCTCCAATAGCTAACACAATGGCGGTTAAATCTATTCAATTCAGCAAGTGAATTTGTACACTAAACAGTAAAAACCTAGTTCAAAGTCAATTCTGATTCTTAGGGAAATAAGGATTTCTACATTCACAAGGATCAATTCCATGGAACAGTTTGATTCTGACAAAGCTAGGTAAGTTTGTACAATAGAACGAGAAACGAATTAGGTCTACCGATTGAAATCGACGCAAACCTTAGGGAAATGGGGAAAAACTTACACAAGAGGAACACTTACAAAAGCACAATTTGTTGAAGAGCAAAATCGAAGAAGCTTGCGTTGGAGGAATCAATTGCGAGAGAGAGAACTCGGGTCACTCAGCTTACCGGATCAAATTTTATAGGATCAGTGTGTCAATTGAAAAAAAAAACTATTATCAAGTGGAAATGAATTGGTGGGAAATAAAACTCTAGAAAAAGATTTCTAAAATATATTTTAGTGTGAAAATAATTAAATTTAAGTTTGTGATTTTTTTGGTTTTACATTTTCTTAAATCAAAGCAAATTCATACTTGATATACATTAATCAATTTGCATATTAATCAAACTAAATCGATTCAACTTGATAGATTTTAAACAAAAAAAGATATAAATTAATTTTAGTTGAATGTTATATAACTCATTTACATGCCAATGTCTTCGAATATATAAGCTTCATGGTACTACTCAAGATACTGTAGTCAATGTGACAATATCATAACACACTCAGTGTTTATAACTTACTCGAGAAAGATTTGCATACAAGTAAGATCGTTGTGTTACCATATTGAATATATGATTTAAAGTTAATATTGTAGCCAAATTTTTCATACTAACAGAAGAAATGTAGTATAAGTAAATGGTAAATTATATAATGAAATTTGACATTACAAGCAAGCCATATAATTTTAAGAGCTGCGGGCTGTTTACAACTTTTTCAACAGCCACTTCAGTTTCTCTTTTCTCACACTGCCCTATATATATTACCACACCACCTCCCAATTACACTCCAAATCACAGAAAAAAAGAGTAATAGAAAATATAAAGTCAAAGATGTTCAAATTGAAAGTGGAGCTTCTTTTTGTGTCTACCACTTTGAATGTTTCGATATCCTCATTTTCACTTTAGACCCTGAAATTCTTTCCGACAAAGGTTTGTCCAAACTGCCAGTTCGAAGGAGCGATGTTCCATGAAGTAGAGGTTCTACGGTCACTGGTTGTGACACGGAAGGAAAGTGACTGACCAACGAGAACAGCATTAGACTGCCAGTTCTGTCCCCAGTTCCTAGTTAAACTCATCCAACCAGTCTTTGAACCTTTCACGCTCGTCCTCAGGATATCTCCTGCTCCGGCCACATTCGTGATCAGCACCAAGTTGAAGTAACGGTGACCGTTGATCGTGAACCTTATCCCTCCACTCTTCCTACATGCCACCCTATAGAAAACCCACATTTCTCAACCTTATCAAGTTGATTCATTGCAACTTCTTTACGAATAGGAAGCTATATATAGGAATGTTTAATCCTTATAAATCAAACGATCGTATCGAAAAAAAGAAAAAAATTATTATTAGTAGTTTTTTACCATCATTCCATAATTAGATATGTTAAGTATACCTGCGGTAAGAGATGGGGACAATGCCGGCACGATACTCAGCGATCTTGAGGAAAACGGGCATGGCGAGGTCGAAATGAGAGCGTGGCGGGTTGCACCATCCGCCATTGTCGCTAGGCTGGGCTAAGTTTGGAGGGCAAAAGTTGGTTGCGGTTACGAAGACAGAAGGATTACCCGGGTGACACCATTTAGGATCATTAACACATTTGATTTCGAAGCATGCGCCGCAGCTTTGGCCACTGTTGAACAACGCTGTGCTCAGGGCCGCCGTGTTTGTTCCGTATCCTTGACTGTACAGATTCCCGTATCCACACGCGCCACCTAAAATAACAACAACAAAAACAAAAGTAAATGAAAGGAAAAAACAGAGAGCTCTGTTTTAGAGAGTTGGTATGTATGGTACGGTTCTTGAAATATGTGTTTTAGGAGAGTGAACTGACCCATTGTTCCGGAAGCATCGTTGCCACCATAGAAAGTGGCGTGAGCGGTTTGCCAAGAGCCGCCTGAGTAGACGCCAGGGATTCCGGCGTCGGTGAAGCTCAAGAGGAGAAAGAGTGGGAATATGGTTAAGAGAATCATTTGATTGATTGCCATTTTGGTGAATATTTGTGATTGAAATTCAGAAATGATAAGAAGATTGTTAGACTAGAAGGCTAAGTGAGGAACTTGAGGATGGTGGAAAATACACTTGTGAAGATCGCTATTTATATTGGTGGAGAAAACTCCAAAGTTAGAGAAAGAGATAGTATTGACCGAAATTAGTATTTTCTACACAATTATTTAGAAAATAGATGGTGAAAATATAGGTTTATAACCGTCTGTATTTTTTGGCAATTATATGAGATCATAGTAGTCTTTTATCCGATAAACTCTGGGATCTATTAACAATATAATATGAGATTAACTTCAAATTAAAATAGTTAATTGGAAAATGTCCAACCACGTACGAAATTGAATCTACTGCTAATATGTTATTGATAAAAATCATTGATACAATATAAACTAACAAATAATTAGTTCGTTCTTGAAGCAACGATGATGAAATAGCGAAACAACGTAATCGAGAAAATATTTGAGTTGACATCATATCATGTTGTTGACTTTGTCTTTTTTTAGTGTTCATAAAATAATTTCAAAGTTCTACGAAAAATCTGCATATGTATAATCTCTGCAATGGTTAAACAAAAGTTAATGTTTTGACACTTCAAATTAATACATTGATACTTAGGTATATACGCCGTACGCAGTACGTCTACATAGCCAACTTTTGTCATGCATGATGCATTATTTATACAAATCGAGTTAATTATTACTTTCATGATAAATATATATCATAAATTTCTATCATAAATATATATCAATAAAATGCAAATCAAACTAGAAGCATATGAAAAAAATACAATAGAACCATATATAACTGATATTTAGAAAAATATGTACAACTAGTCAACTACTATACAAATGATTATGAAAATGTTAATATCCAATTCATTGGGATAGTTTTTATAATTAAAAATAAAATAAAATAATCATATGTGGGAAAATACTCAAATAGAAGTGAGTGAAGCATGAGATGGAAATTAAAAAAGAGGAAAACAGTTAGGGGCGATGACGGTGGAAGAGCATTAACGACATTTGGTGATGACAAAGCATATCTATGCACCAACCAGATCTTGTATATCTGCCCCGTCACCCAAACCAAGCAAAAAATGTACATACGTGTTATGTTATTTAATCAAAGTTTATAGCTAGCTTCTCGTGGTTACATATTTTTCTTTCTTTTTTGGTAGATATGATAATGTGAAATAACTGTAATTCATAAGTCGTATCTAGTGTTGTTAAAATTAAAACTAAGATACATTTTACATAAATAGTGTATATATACGTGTAATTAGTGACGTGTATATTTTTTCCAAATGCACATGAACGCATACGTACCCACTTGCATGTGAATTTATTATCTACCTCTACTCTCTCCCGACGATTTCTCGTCTTTTCATTTATTTCGTTCTTAAAACAAAACAGTTTTCATTTAATTTGTTATGTATATAGATGCCAATTCTCAATTTTTCATCTCCAACTAATAAAACAACTTGACGACCGATGTGCTAAAACATTGTAGTGCAGATCCGTGTGTATTGAATGGTGTCACAGTCTATGGAAGTTACATCATCAATGTGGAAAAACGTATGTCGAACAAATATAAAGTACAGAAATAGATCTGACACACTGCTCCAAAAGGACTAGGGCATGTACGGCGTACGATCATGTGTTTGATCATCTGACAATAAAAACATGATAGCATATTAAACTCCGATGATCGGAGTATCAAAGACGGCGACGAGAGTAGATCGGAGTTGTAACGGAAGAAACAAACTTTCTTATTCAAGAGAAATCAAAAATGTTTGTTACAAACTCAAAGACTAATTAATCTATGATTAAGCTTATATACAATCATAAGATAACTAAACCAACATTTAAACCGGAATAAACCAAGACTCTAATACGCCCCTCTCAAGTCTTTATCTTCTAAGTGTCTGGTTTAGGAAGATAAAGACTTGAAAGTGACATTCTCTTCAATAAGCCATGGAAAGGACCCGGATGAAGTGGTTTTGTGAGTATATCTGCGTGTTGGTTGCCTGTAGGAACGTGCATTGTCTTCAAATTGCCTGCATTAATCTGATCTCTAACCGTGTGGCAATCTATCTCAATATGCTTGGTTTTCTCATGGAACACAGGATTTGTTGCAATGTGTATAACTGATTTATTGTCACAAAACAGCTTAGCAGAACATGTTAGCTTGACATGAAGATCCTTGAGCAACTGTTGCAGCCAAATAATCTCACAAGTAGCATGAGCAAGACTTCTATATTCTGATTCTATGCTGCTTCTACTAAGAACATTCTGCTTCTTTGATTTCCATGATATAAGAGAATCACCAAAATAAATGCAGAACCCTGAAACTAATCTCCTTGTATCTCTACACGTACCCCAGTCAGCATCCGCAAATCCGTTTAAGCACAACTCAGAATCTGTAGAGTACATTAATCCTTGTCCAGGATTAGCTTTAATGTACCTTAGTACCTTGTGAGCCGCTTGAAGATGAACATCTGTTGGACTAGAGAGGAACTGGCTCAATTGGTGAACTGCAACGGTAATGTCAGGTCTTGTAATCGTCAGATATAGCAATCTACCAATGAGTTCTCTGTATGATGTGGGATTTGAAAGAGGAGTCCCCATGTCTTTTGTGAGATGCAAATTTGGATCCATATGTATTGAACTAGGCTTGCAGCCTAATAGACCTGTATCTTCCAAGAGATTTTATGCATACTTCCTCTAACAAACAGAGATGCCAGCAGCTGATCTTGCTATTTCTAGACCGAGGAAAAATCTTGTAGGACTTAAATCTTTTATCTTGAATTCAGATCTCAGCAACTGTTTCAAGTTCTCAACAACTGTTTCAAGTTCTCAACAACAGTATCATCATTGCTTGCTATCATTATATCATCTACATATACTAGCACACCAATGATAGAATCTCCAGCCACTTTAACAAACAGAGTATTATCAGCAGGAGATTGTATGTAGTTAGCTCCCAATAAGACCGAAGATAATCTTTTATACCATTGTCGAGAGGCTTGTTTAAGGCCATAAAGAGATTTGAGGAGTCTACATACCGGATTAGGAGGTAAAATTGTACCCGGAGGAGCTGTATATCCTTGTTGCAAACTCATGAATATTTCTTCATCAAGCTCTCCATGTAAAAAAGCATTTGACACATCCATTTGAGTTAAACTCCATCCTTTTGCAGCCGCAAGACCAAGTAGAAGTTTCACACTTGTTAGTTTTGCAACAGGGGAGAAAGTATCCATGTAATCAATGCCTTCTTGTTGTGTAAAACCCTGTGCCACTAATCTTGCCTTGTACCTTTCAACAGTACCATCGGGGTTATATTTGATTGTGAATACCCATTTACAACCCACAACATTTTTACCTTCAGGTAATGTCTCAACAACCCATGTATTATTCAACTCAAGAGCTTGTAACTCTTCATTAGCTGCATTTGTCCATTTCTCAGATTTCATGGCCTGTTTAAAAGTCTTTGGTTCTGTTTCAAGACTATAAGATAGAATATATGAATTGAAAAGAGGAGTGAGTTTATCATAAGATATAGTAGTAGAAATCGGATAAGGAGTAGTGTGTTTAGGTAAGACTGGTTTAGTAACAGGAATAGTGTTTTGAGAGAGTATAGGGGAAGCTGTATTTATAGGTGGTAAAGTAGTATAGGAAGTATTAGTGTTTGGAGATAGTATAGAAGAAGTAAAAGGTACTAAAGTACAATGATACTCAGATAAGTAAGTAGGTGCTTTAGTTGTCCGTTTAGGCCTAACAACATGTGCAGTCTCAACACCAGTATCATGTGTTCCTGTATTATGATCTGTAATGGTGGTACTAGAGTCCCTATGTAGTGTATCATTGGAAGATGATGCATGTGCAGGCGATGATGAAACATGCGATGATGATGATGCAGCAGGAATAGCAGTCAAATCATCAACAATAGGGAATGAATCAACAAAGTGCAAAGGAGCAGGTAATGGTAAAATAGAATTGGGAAACATGTCTACTGCTTTTGACAATAATGCATCAGTCTTAAAAGGAAATTGATTCTCATGAAAAAACAATATTTCTTGAAATTAAAATTGAATGAGATTCTAAATCCAGAACCTTGTATCCTTTAAAACTTGATGGATAACCAAGAAAAACACATGGTTTTGCTCTTGGTGAAAATTTATGTCTATCAGAAACATTAGTCGACACATAACACAAACAACCAAAGTAAACATTGCTAAATCTGAACACACATTGTTGGTGTCGGATCCCGCACCAGAAGTACGAGACCAACCAAAGATTGCCACGTAATCAGGATAATGGCCCATAAAGGATGAAGCCCATTGGACCCGCGAGCCGAAAGGATGGACGAAGTGGTTGTCACCATTTAGATAACCCGAAGTGACTGCACTATGACGCGAGTTCGGTGTAGAAGACACGGGTAAGTCGGTTCGAAGACATTTGGGCCAGAAGAGGCGAGGCCCGTGAAGATCAGAGTCAACTCAAATTCAAACGTTGAGCATTAAAGCCGAAGAATCAAAACGGACACATTTAAGAAGGAATAATTGTACTTAATTACTCATTTTAAATGTCGTTTAGCTATGTATAAATATAGAGGCCAGTGGCCATGTAAAGGGGGACCATCTAAAAAAAAGAGAGAAATAATATAGCAATTTTCGTATCAATTTACAAGTTCTTACGTATTCATTTTTGTCCCTCAAGAATAATCTTTCCCATTTAACAAAATACTTGAGTGTGTGAATCCGACTTCCACATTTTGGTGCCGTCTGTGGGGAGATCAGGATTCTTGAGTGGGCAGATTTCTTCTTTTCTACATTTCCGAGATAAGCGACAATGTCCGGAGGAGACGCCGTTGAAACATCATTGGCCGAAACCCTCAAAGCTATGCAGCAAACCATGTCGGACATATCACAAAAGTTCTCGGATGTGGAGAAGGCCGTCGATACGTTGCAAACATCCCAGGTATCTCTTAGTCAAAACGTCAATAATATACAAACTCGTGTTCGCTCTTTAAGTGCAGGAAACCCGGTGGGAACCCGAAGAGGGATATTCAACTCGCCAAGTTCCGCTGCACGAAATGAAACCAGCGGACAAACAACTCCCG